CAGTGGGCTCCATGTCCACATACTGTTCGTATGCCAGTGCTTGTATGAGTCCCAGAGTCCTGAAGCATGCATCTACCTTCTAGACAAACTGGACTACCATCTTGACCTCAGTGGAGACAGTCTGGATCCTTACCCTTGCTGTGCTGTGGCCTTTGTGGTCACTCAGTCAAAGGAAAGGAAAATAAGGCTGAACCTCGAGGATGTGACGATATCAGAACAAGGAATGAGACAGCTGTTTGGATGCTTTGAAAATGTCCAATGGTAAGAATGAACATGTAGTTTTAGGGTTATATTACTGCTTAGGTTACAACCTGTAATAAGAATCATATTCTTGGTTAGTTTTACAATGAGATAATGATCTCTTCTTTCAATTATAGGTCTGACTCTCTGGCTCGACAGCTGTGGGAGCTTTTTCTTATCAGTGAAGACCAGATGGACTTTGTAACCTTACTCAGCCTAGATGGAAACCTTCACCTTCCAGTTGATGGTGAAAAGCAGCTTTATGAAAGAGCTGTGGAAGTCATGCAGAGGATGCCTACAAAGGTTAATGTCTGCCTCTACTGGGACAATGAAACTCCTCCCTGTCACAGTCAGTGTGAGTCTCTGCTAAAGACTTTCCCGTTCATCAGCTCAGTCAGGTATGTAGCTTTTCCTTTCAAATAATTATGTACCTGCTTATTTTTATAGTCTGTGACTGTTGAAAAAAGAGGCTTATTTTGTGGTGGCATTTTAAAAAAATAGAAAAGGAGCTTTAAATTTTGAACTGAAAGCTGGATAATGTGATTACCGTAAATCCCGGACTACAGAGCGCACCTGATTAAAAGCCGCATGCTCTAATTTTAGAAAGAAAATCAATTTTGTACTTGTACAGGCCGCACCGGATTTAAAGCCGTATGCGTTTCACTTGTAATATGAGATACACAGAAATATTACACGTGAGGATTTTTAACGTTTAATTTAATCCGTAAGGTAACATAAACGTTATGGTAACATACAAAAATACATACTGCAAATGCTTTTTTTCCTCGAACAGCGCCTGTAACACGGCTACCTTTAAGTATACGTACGTATCGGTAACACAGAAATTACGATGCTTGTGGGTTTTTTACGGAACAGTGCACAAACAACATTACAACGTCTCCTAACCCTTTAAGACCTACCATAGAACCAAGTCCGCCAGAGCTTATATTATATTTTTACATGCTGTAGTGCCATTTTTGGGAGCATTTCAAGCTGATATACATCAATACAACCATTATAGCCCAAATTTTAATAATATGTATGCATTAAGTGCATAGTAATTACATAAATTTCAAAAAGTGCAATAAACTACCAAAAAATTGAAAATCGTTTTTATTTTTTTAACATATATTT